GCGCCACCGCCATCCGGAGCGCGAGACCGACCCGCCCGCCGTCTAGCACCGGGCCTGGCGCGGCAGGCACACCCCTTGCCGCAGTCGATGCCCAGGGGGCGAAACCGTTTCGCCTCCACCCGTCTCAGGAGCCCCCATGACTGCCACCCGGAAGACCACCACGACCCGCAAGCACGCCCACGACGCCATCAAGCTGCTGACCGCGGACCACAAGGACGTGAAGACCCTTTTCAAGCGCTACGAGAAGCTCGTGAAGGAGGAGGCCGACGATACGGAGAAGCACGCCCTGGCGATGGAAATCTGCGGGGCGCTGACGGTGCACGCCACGGTCGAGGAAGAGATCTTCTACCCCGCCGCGCGGCAGGTCCTCGGCGACGACGAGGACCTCGTGGACGAGGCGGACATCGAGCACGCCAGTGCCAAGGAGCTGATCGCCCAGATCGCGTCGGGCTCGCCGGCTGACGACAGCCATTTCGACGCTCGCGTGAAAGTGCTGGGCGAGTACATCGACCATCACGTCAAGGAAGAGGAGGGCGAGATGTTCCCGAAGGTCCGCAAGTCGGAACTCGACCTCGACGCCCTCGGCGAGGAGCTCCTGCGCCGCAAGGAAGCGCTGATGGTCGAGCAGGGCGAGCTGCAAGACGCCTGAGCGCCGGCCAGGGGCTCGGCCCGCGGGACATACTGCGCGCATGACGCCCTCTCGCCTTCTGGCCCTGCTGCTGGCGCTGCCCTTCGCCGCGGTCGCAGCCTGTGATCGCAGCCTGCAGGCACCGCCCACGAGTGGCACGCCGCAGCGCATCCTGTTCGTCGGCAACAGCTTTCTGCACGGCCATGCGCCGCCGGTGCTGCACTACAACGCCGAGCGCGTGACCGACCTGAACGGCACCGGCCTACGGCGGTGTGCCGGGCGTGTTCAGGCAGCTGGCCGACGACGCGGGGCTGCAGGTGGCTGTGGCCAGCGAGCTGCTGAGCGGGCAGTCGCTGCGCACGCACCTGGACGACAAGCGCGGCGTCATCACGTCCCAGCCCTGGGACGTCGTCGTGCTGCAGGACCACAGCCTCATGAACCCGCACAAACCGGGCGACACCGCGGCGACGGTACGGGCCGTGGGCGCATTGGAGGCGGCGGTGCACGCCGTCAATCCGCAGGCGCGGGTCTATCTGCTGCAGACCTGGGCCCGTGCCGATCAGGTCTACCAGACGCCGGGCGGCCGCTGGGCGGGCCGCAACCTGGAAGCCATGCAGGCCGACCTGCGCGCCGGCTACGAGCAGGCCGCGCAGGAGGCCGGCTGCGTGGCCGGTGTGCTGCCCGTGGGCGACGCGACGCTGCGCGCAGTGCAGGACGGCGTGGCCGACCGCGACCCCTACGACGGCATCGACGCCGGCAAGGTCAACCTGTGGGGGCCGGACAGCTACCACCTTCGGCGCCTGGGGCAGCTATCTGGAGGC